CCCGACCAACAAGTGTCAGCACCCTGTCCAGAAGTGCAGCCTGTGCGCACTGGACCATCACTACTCCATATGCAAGGCAACAGTCCATCACTGCTTGCTCTGTGATGGCAATCACCCCGCAATTTTCTACCGCTGCCCCCGCAGACAGGAAATCATCAAGGCCCAGGTTGAAGCCAAAAGAAACAACTCGTCTACCTCCTCGACCAGAGCCCCAAGCGTTCAACTCACCGCCTTAGCTGTCACTAGTCGACCAGAAGACTTTCCGGTCCTACCAACATGTGGCTCCTCCCAGCAGGCGACACAGCCTTCTCATTGTGGACCCAAGGTCCCCAAGGTCCCACAGGCTCCTTCACAGCCCCCTGTATCACGTGCAGGCATTATCCCTGGTCTTCTTAAACTAGCGGAAAGGCTTGCAGGACCAGACAACCAGCGCTTTGTCAGTGAACTAAACGCATTATACATAGACAATGGCCTGGCCCCCATCATAGCCACTAGCGTAAATCTCACTGCCTCCTCTACCACTCCAGAGACTACCACCAGGATGACCAGGTGGTCAACTTCAACACCGACTCCAGAACCGCCCATGACCCGGGCGACACAAACAGAGGTAATTCCTTCTCCAGCTCCCAACACTCCTACCATCACTATCTCAGCAGCTGCGCTAGCAGACGTGCCGTCTACAAACGATAACAGCACCGCCAGCGCTCCTGAAATAGCTACAACCACCAATCAACGACACCTAAACCTACCTAAGGCTGCGAGGCGAAAGACAAAAACGCCCACTACGGAGGTTACGGACTCCTCAGACGAGGAAATCATAGTAGGAGCTCCACCGCCGCATCACAAATACGACACCTACACGGTTCAAGAGGCCACGTCACCAAACTCTAACGATAGCACTGCTCAGCCAAAGTCGCAGGCAAAGAAAAAACGGAAAACCTAGAGGTCTACACTAACCCCACCAGCTCCATAACTGGTATAGCCAGCCCTCCAGGCTGAAAACCATCATGAAGACCATCGCCACATCTCTAGTATCAGCCACTGATACAGATAATGGCTCCAAAGAGCCTCCACTTACGGGCTCACCATAGCCCGTGCTACTGGAACTTATCGTTCTGAGCAGCGAATCTTAAACAACAACATGTTCCGCACAGCTGTATGAGCTGTGGAAAAGAAGTTCTTCTCCTTTCAAATTGTCACTTCCTGCCGACCTTTTGCCTGTTTTGATCATTCTTTCGGCCTTCTTTTGTTTTGATGCCCGGGTGTTTGAGGAAGCATACTCTTGCACCCGTAGAAATGTAGTACCCAACAGTACTACACTGTTGTGTAGTACTGTTTCGTCACTGATCCCGATCGCAATGGACTGACGGTTCTTAAGGTGTCGTTTGTGGGGTGTATACTCACGACACACCCCTGGGGGGCCCTGGCAAGATCGGTAATAAGTCTCTTGTTGGGTGTCCTATCCTCAAATTGTGGCTCCATGGTGGGTATGGGGGTACATTCGTGAATGAGTCTCGCCTCTCTTTTTTCATGTCGATAAATACCGTTCCTCTTATGACTTCTCAGGCTCATGGGGTGGGCGACCAAGCCTCAGAGTTGGACTGTGTTGGAAGACCGGGCTCTGTCGCCCCCGCTACATTGGGCCCAGACCTAGCTCCTCCTTTGACCCTCCTGACTATACCCCCCAGCTCCCCTCCCTCCACTGTGGTTGGGTCGAGCCATACGCCCCCAGCGGTGACCACCTCGTCCCCTGGTGCGGCTCAGTCTCTCATTGTGACTATTGCACCTTTTAACCCCCTCTCTCTCTCTGAGGGTTCTTGTTACGACCCTGGGTTCTTCAGTGGAAACCAGAGGTCAAAATTGAGTTATTAAACTTTCCTATGGTATAGTTGAATGCATCACGAGCTGAAATTGTTTGTATCTTCCCTGCCAGACGTAAGACTATTCTTTTTTCTCAAAGAACATTTAAAGACTGAGCTGGGGGTTGATTATTAAAAAAATAACATAGGCACCAACTATGTTTACTAATACTTTAATCATTTGTAAAGTAACAATATGTTGCATAGGGGAAGATTTTTAATGTGCTTAGCTGCACGATCAATTAGGCTCCTTCCGGCACCACCACATGCGGGAGGCCTAAGCTGGTCGCTGGGAGCGTTCTTCTGCTGGCTGGCGTTCGTGGGGACGAGACCTACTCTGTAGCTGCACCCCTACTCTCCTCCCTTCTCCTCTTACTTATTCCCCCTTACCTTAAGTTCCTGTACCATTACGTTAAGTATGGTGTTTTAAGTGTGCCTACTCTGGTAGTAACGATTGGTGAGACCTGGGGGTAGTATTTGCCAGTGTTTTGGGTACCCCTAAGTGTTGTGTTTTGTATTAGGGTACCACGTGGTCACACTACCCTAAGCTGCATCCAGCTTCAGTGCTTATCCAGTAGAACTTTACCCTAGCTTGTGTTCAGTGTAAAACCTTGTATCCTGCTCATGTGGACCAAGGCTTTTAACGTAAGATAGTGTGGTAAAGTTATTACTATTATTGTTATTGGTGTGAGTGTATATGGGGGGCTGTTAAGGGGTTAATAAATAAGTTCATGAATTATAAGAGTATCGTTCTTCCTGTGTAGGAGATCTTGATCATTCCCTAGACTGACCTTGTTGTGTAGCCAAGTAGTCAGCACTACTTCTAGTTTCCATGGGGGCCGGGCCTTACTGATCTCCCCAAATAGATACATCTTTATTCTGCCTGACCTTACCCCTGAATAGCACTAGATTCCCCATAGTACAGACACTCCTTTTATTTAACAGTTCTCAACGCCGTTCCTGCCACAGCCGTACTTGCACGATATCTTCTCATACTAATACGTACCAAGCCTTGTTTGGTCCTGCTTCATGAGCTAAATACTTTGATCTCCTCCCTCTGGATTCTACACCTCCTGACGATTTCTCACTCCATAAACACCTTGTTGATTTGGTGGATGCCGCTGTTACTTTTAACCCCACCCGTTTAGGTACACGTGTCGTCGCTGCGTCTTCACCGGATGCAGCTACCTGCTTAGCCGCATTGTCCTGCAATGGGGAGACCCCTGTTCTGGTCTTCAAAAACGCTCGGTTAAATGCCAGTGTTGGCACTGTTCTCTCGCACCATGTTGCAACTGGTGTTAGGGACCTAAAAGAATGCCATGAGGATATTAAACATATCCTCGAAGCCCAAGACCATCCTGTCCTCCAGTTGGTCACGTTCACTCGACCCCCTCGTGGTCGCCACCGTCGAGTTGTGAAAATCACCTATGATAGTAGGACACTTCCGCCCTCTATAATTCTTGCTGGTGCCAGATGCTCTGTTCAGCAATACATTCCCTCTCCTAGACTTTGCAATAAGTGCTGGAAGTTCGGGAAGTCCAAATGCTCAAGTACTGTGTATCTATGCCCCATGTGTGTGGCCGATGATCACTAAGTCCGAGTGCACTTCTCCCCAGGCTCGCTGCCTCAATTGCAGTGAGGCCCACACTACCTTCTCTCGCTCGTGTATACACTACAAACTTGAGGAAGCCATCTTCAACTTGAAAGACCGGGATCGTCTGCCTTTTCCTGAAGCTGTACTCGCCGCGGTACAAGAATGTAACAACTCTTGTGTGTGTGTGTGTGTGTGTGTGTGTGTGTGTGTGTGTGTGTGTGTGTGTGTGTGTGTGTGTGTGTATATATATATATATATTTTACACACACACACACGGACTGTGCTCGGGCTGTCTGTTGTAAGTGTGCAGCCTGGAAGAAACACCGACGCCGACAGACAGCAGATTCTTTTATTTTGTTTCGGAAAGCAAGTGCAGTGGCCTGTAGGACCATCCATACAGCTAAGCCTGAGAGTTGGAAATCTTACGTTTCCACCATTACGTCCGATACTCTTACCGCAGATCTGGAAGAAGATCCACAAGATTGTGGGCAAGTTCGTTCCAGATATCTCACTGGTTCTTCACCTCCGTGGTACTCTTGTGGCGGCCCCAGTGCAGGTTCGCGACCGAACTGGGTTCCCACTTTTCTTCTGTTAGCTCTGGTTCTCATCTTTCTCAATCCTTCCTTCGTAAGCCCGTTCTTTAATCTCGTCCCTTAAATTTCCACACTCATCTCCGCCTTCCCTATAACGATCCCTTCTCTCTCTGAACTTCAGTCTGCCCTGGCCGTCTGCAGTTCTATGGCAGCGGGCTAGAATGACATTATGAGAAGCTTCGCCATCTCCCGTTGAATAAGTTTATGTTGGACATGAAACCAACATAAGCAGAGTGCGGGATGATGCAAACGGCATCAATAATTTTAAAATTTGTAAAAATTCCATTTATTGTCCGAATACTATGGGGACTTTAAAATGCACACCAACGTCTTCCCATTCTCTATATTCCACGTGGCATCCTGATCCCGCCGTGTGGGCACCCACCATTCTTGTGACCTCGCTCGTAAAAGTCGCGGCCTCCCCTCGAGTCGAAAAATTTCCCGTGAAAGAAACATGTACGAGGTTAAAGTAGTGTTCGTCAAACGTACAATGTAGAAACGCGAGACATGTTCTTATATGCAAATATTGTACTCATTTACAGCATTCTATTGGGAACAACTTGATACCAAATTGAACAACGTAGCATGAAAATTGAGGTGAGAAAGCCAAAGAGAGGTTGAGGAGCGAGGTTCTTGTGCTCACAGGGAATGCCCAGCCAACCGTGCAGTGGGTCACCCACCGGGCCAACGAAAGTGTTGTCAAAAAATTCGCAACTTTTCTCTTGAATTTGTTGGGTGTTGGAATTTCCGACACCCAACAGTTGCCCAACTTCCAGGTACCTGTTGAATGTACATACCCAATCATCTCTGTCCCACCCGGGGATTGAATGTGGATCCCATGATTGTGAGCCAAGTAATATACCACTGTGATACAGGTCCAATATTAATACATTGTAGCTATTCAAATTGCATACATGCAAGAAGAAAGCAATATGGAGTAAATGATGTACTGTATATATTAATACCTACATTTTATTATTTCTTTATACAAAAAATAGCAATTAAGTAACAGAACACATGTTAGTGACTATGTAATGTACATTTCTTACCTGCGAACTGTCCACTAACATCAGTTGTCCAGAGAGTTCTTTCATATTATTATTATAAAAACTGGTCCATGTTCTCCGTTTCAATTTTAAAAAGTTTTGCTTCTCAATTTTGAATCACTAACAAACTACAATGCAAAATGAAAAATTTAATGACATTTGGCATTAACAATTTTTTTACAATAATTTTAACAATCAAAACTTTAAATAATATGAATAGTTTTTATTAAGACAGTTTTTGGCCAATTTTCCTCCAACAATAAAAGTCGGGTATGGTATATTTACACTAATACTTCTCCGAGGATATGCCTTTATCAAGAAGTAGTGCGTGTATGATACTAGCAACTGCTACCAGAGCTCTTTCCTTGTTATCATGCTACGCACTTTTCTGCACATCACTGGCAGCATCAGCCAGAGCGTCGTCCTTGCTCTTATGCTGCTCAGCATTCTGCATGCCACCGACAGCCCGAGGTTCTTCCTTGCTCTGACAGTACTCCTCGACTCGTGTCTTCATGTAGTCTCTCCGTACAGTGAAAGGCAGATGCTTAGTCCGCAACAGCACCTGAATAAAATAAATTTAATAGCATTCCTTTCACATGCATTAATATTACCCCTTCTAATTATCACCCCATCCTTTCTTCACTACCGACTCTTCCAAGTCGGTAAATATCACCAAGGACGCCAATACGAGAATAGAAACGCACAAGACGAACGATATCAAAAGTATCCGAGTCACCAAGAATACTATCGAGAGACAAGTGACCGTGGGGGGATGGTCGGAAAACCAGACATACGCTCGTCCCGGAAGTCAGGACATTCAACAAGGATATGCACGACCATAAGAAGGACAATGCAATTAGGACAATAAGGAGCAGGGCGGCGCTCCATCAAGTGACCAAGAGTTAAGCGAGTATGGCCAATACGCTACCTCGCCAGAGCCGTTTTCCGTCGCCGGTTACGGTGGCAGGAGGACGGCCACGAGGATACACAACCTTTAAGAGAACGTAATTGTTACAAGTAACAGATGACCAACAAGCCTGCCAATGGGGAAGGATGGAGGAATGGATAACCGGGTAAAAGTCTGAATAAGGAATACCTTTATGAGAGAGAGAGGACAAGAGCGGACAGCTTCCCTGGCGGCAACATCCGCACGCTCATTTAAAGAGATACCAATATGGCTGGGAACCCAACAAAACTCAACCGACTTAAATTTACTGTGAACAAGAAACAGCCAATGCTGGACCTCGACAACCACTGGATGAACTGGATTAAAGGACCCAAGAGCCATGAGGGCACTACGAGAGTCAACAACTACAAAGGAAGATTGACAACGAGACAGAGCAAGAGACGAAGAGCAGAGAGACTAGCATAAAACTCCGCTGTGAAGATGCTAGTCTCCAGAGGTAAGCGACAAGTGTGATCAGGAAAAAACAACAGTAGCCAACACCATCCGCAGACTTGGACCCCATCAGTGAAGACGGAAACAGAGTGCGAGTGAGAAGAAAAGTGCTCAAGGAAAATGCATTTTAAAACTGTAGGAGGGGTAAAAGCTTTAGTGATGTGGGTCAAGAATGTACAAAACTGCAGAAGGGGGACTCTCCACTGTTTTGCAAAGAAGGAACAACACGAGGAGAAATACGAACGGAAAGAGAATCCTGCAAGCGAGATAACCGGACAGAAAGAGGGTGGTGGTGAAGAGGAACAGGAACCGCAGGAGGGGTAAAAGTTAAAGCACGACAGAGGAAGAAGGATGTTGCAAGGATCATGCAAGATAGCGAAGACAGTAGCGATCACGGCGGTTCAGGAGAGACAGGAAGCCAGTGTCAACATACAAGCCGAGGACGGGAGTCAAACGAAAGGCACCAGGACAAAGGCGCAACCCAGTATGGTGCAAAGCATCAAGACGGCGAAGAGTAGAAGGAGAAGCAGACGAGTTAGCAGGGCAACCATAATCGAGCTTAGACAGGATGAAAGAGGAATGTAAAGCAAGGAGTGCGCGCCTATCCGCTCCCCCAAGAAGTATGGGACAATACCCGAAGGAGGGCAAGGGCCTCGGAGCACTCAACACGGAGGTAAGAGATATGGAGAGACCAAGACAACGAATGTCAAAGAATAACCCAAAAAGCTTCGCGGAATCTTTGTACTCAAGAGGATGACCATAAAGTGACAGAGGGATGAAGAACGACCCGCTTCCGAGTAAAAGTCATGGCACAAGTCTTAGAAGTAGAGAACTTGAAGCCATGATCGGTGGCCCAAGACACGGCATCAATGGCAAGTTGAAGCCGACGTTGAAGGAGAGGCGAATCATCACCCTGACAGCAAAGGGCAAGATCATCAACATAGAGAGCTGAGAAGACACCTGAAGGGAGAGAGGAAAAAAGACCATTGAGGGCAACCAGAAAGAGAGTAGTATTCAGAACACTACCCTGGGGCACACCTTCATATTGCTGAAAAGAGGCAGAGAGAGCGGTACCAAGCCTTACCCGACAGGAACGACGAGAGGGGGAGATGACCAGGAAGGCCAAAAGAATGAAGCTGGGATAGAATACGATAACGCCAAGTGGTGTTGTAAGCCTTTTCTAGGTCAAAAAAAAAAAAAAAAAGGACTGCAACAATGGAGGTCTTCGCAGCAAAAGCAGCACGAATATAGATCTCCAAGTTCACCAGGACATCTGTTGTGCTGCGGCAATTGCGAAAACCAAATTGAGAAGGGGAGTGGAGGTGATTGTGTTAAAGGAACCACATCAGATGAATGTTAACCATACATTCAAAGAGTTTGCAGACAACTTGTGAGGGCAATAGGGCGAAAAGAACTTGGGGGGGGGGGGGGGGGATGTTCCCAGAAACCCTGGTTTACGAACAGGGAGGACAACGGCATCGAGCCAGTCCTCAGGGACTGACGACGACTCCCAGATCCAATTATACCGACTCAGTAAATACCAAGACGTGCACGGAGGGAGATGGCGAAGTAAGTAATTATCAAAAGAAGGCACCAAACCGGGAAGGCTATGTAGCACCATCAAATGTGCGGAATAATCAGAGGGCGCTAAATATCACCAAGGAGGGAGATGGCGAAGCATCTCATAATGAATGCCATCGGAAGACACGTGCAGCAGAACATTGGATGCGATAGAAAGAGCAGGGGGACGAAGGAAACATCAGAACGAATCAAGAAAGAAGAGTTATGGGCCCTAGCAAAAGCAGATGGGGGGGGGGGGGGAAGAGAAAGGAATAGCCATGGAAGCAACCAGGACTAGCACCAAGCATCGGCTCCTGGAGACTGTTACAAAGGGGCGAAAACTGTGAAACAAGAAGTTAAGAGTTCATGGAAATTGGCATAATAACCAAATATTTTATTGAATAGACTTCGACTAAAAGAGAAAGGACTGCAACAGAGAACAATGAGGAAACAAATGTTAAAAAGGAACACAGCACCTCAATGAAGTGCAGGATCAGGATCAGCAAAGTCGGGGGCATGGGTAAACTGATCAAGGATGGAGGGAAGGGAGCGGGAGGACTGACTAGAGGCAGACAAGCAGGGCCTGATGGAAGAGGAGGAGACATCCGAGGGTCAAGGAAAGCAGGAGGAGGGGTAGAAACCAGGGAGCACACCTCAGCAAGAGCAGCAATTGAGAGGGAAGCAGGAGCCAAAGAAACCTCCACAGCAGGAACAGGGGGCCTGATCCCCGAAACGGGAGGGGATGGAGTGATAGAGAAGGGGGTGAGGAAGAAAGTGAAGCCTTCTTACCTGCCGGGGAGGAGGAAGGAGACGAGCCAGGCTTTCGCTTTTGACTCAAAGAGATAGGTGTTCCAGCAACAATGTGCTGGGTAACAGACTCGCATCTCAACAGAAGAACGAGAGCGAACAATACGATGACCGCTAGGAGAGTGATGGACATCAGCCCGCACAAACAGGCGGCGTGGAGAGCTAAGAGACGAAGGAGAAGGATGGGAAGGAGGATCAGAGGGAGAAGAGAGGGGGGAGAGAGAAAAAAAAAAAAAAAAAAAAAATTAAAAGACAGGAGACATGATAGACTGGGTAGAAAGAAGGGGAACCCCAGAGAACTAGGAGGGGGACCCTTCAGGACAGAACGTAAAGGAACTTGGGAGGAGGTGGTGGGCGTGTCTGGGTCCAAGACCTGGAAACGGCTGTGAGACCGAGGAAGGTGGAAAGGACAAGGAGATGAAGAGCGCAACACACGAGCGTAAGAGACGCCAGCGAAAGGAGGGGAGACTGAACTTTGAGCCTCGCCTCGGGAAAAGACAAACGTTCCCGGTGCTTCAAATCGAGGACGACTGCCTCAAGCTTGTAATGTATACACACGCGGGAGAAGGTAGGGTGGGCCTCACTGCAATTGAGGCAGCAAGCCTGAGAAGAAGTGCACTCCGACTTTGAGTGACCTTCGTCCCCACATAAGGGACAGAAAGTACTGGAGCATCGGAGGGCATCATGCCTAAACTTCCAGCACCTATTACAGAGCCAAGGGGAGGGAATGTACTCCTGAACAGAGCACCTGGCACCAGCAAGAATGACAGGGCAGAAGGGTCCTACCATCAAAGGTAATTTTCACAATCGGACGGGCTGATGGCGACGACCACGAGGGGGACGAGTAAACGTGTCCAACTGGAGGACAGAATGGCCCTGGGCTTCAAGGATATGCCCGATATCTTTGTCGCAGTCCTAACACCAGTCGCAACATGGTGCGGGAGGAGAATAGTGCCAACACTGGCGTTTAACCGAGCGCTCTTTGAAACCCGAACAAGGGTCTCACCAATGCAGGATAAGGCGGCCAAACGAGTAGCTGCATCCTGAGCAGCAGCAGCAGCAACAACAACACGTGAACCGAGACGGGTGGGGTTGAAAGTAACAGGCATCCACGGAATCAACAAGGTGCCTATGAAGGGGAAAAAAATCATCAGGAGGAGAATCTAAATGATGGCGGTCAAAGTACTTAGTCCACGTAGGAGGACCAAACAAGGTGTGGTACGAATTAATACGGGAAGGGATCGTGTGGGTGCGGTTGCGACGGGGACGGTGTTGAGAACCCCCAGAAAGGGGGTTAAAAGGCGCAGTAGTTACAATGAGAGATGGAGCCGGGCCAGGGGACAAGGGGGTCACCGCTGGGGGTTTAGGGCTCAACCCAACCACAGAGGGAGAGAGGGGAGCCGAGGGTCAGAGGAGCAGCTAGGTCTGGGCCCAATGCAGCAGAGGCTACAGAGCCTGGTCTTCCAACACAGTCCGACTCGGGGTGGCCTGGTCGCTCACCCCATGAGCCCAAGAAGTCATAACAGAGAAACAGGAGTCATCGGCATGGAAACAAGAGGGAAGACTCGTTCATGAAAGTGCCCCCACATCCACCACAGAGCCACAATTAGAAGACAGGACACCCAACAAGAAACATGTTACCGGTCTTGCCGGGGGGCCCCTAGGGGGTGCGTCGTGAGTATACTCCCCACAAACGCTACCTTAACACTTTCGCGCCCCATTGGGATGGTAAAAAAAAAAAAGCGGTATGTGCGCGCGGCGTTTTTGCCGCGTAAGCGTAAAAACAAAAATGTGTATACTCTTTACTCTCCTGACCTTAGTTCTCGAGCTACGTATTTCATTTTGGTACCAACGTGTTCGCAATAAAATTCTCTAGAAGAACATCAGTAAAAAAAAAGTCACGAAACGTATAGGGATATCAGCACCAAATAAATAACTACGAAGATGACTCGCCGTGAGCGCCCAACAGCAACAAAATGTTTTTACTCTTGGGATTGTTATCACCTCCACACTTGTCCTACAGCGTTAATTTTGGTATCAATGGACTCGCAATGAAATTCCCAACACGGTGATATGAATATAAGCGTAGAATAATGATTGCGGCCCGCCCGCAAGAGTGTGGGAAGTGGTGAAATTGTTACCCGGTATCGGTGACGGGACGACACATGTGCGATACAGCGCTTTGAAAGTTTATACTTATTTCACTCTCGTGACATTATTATTCTATGTACGTCATTCATTTTTGTGTCAATGTGTTCGCAATAGAATGTTCTATGAGCCCGTAGGTAAAAAGAGATCAACAAAGCGTAAGATAGAATAGCGCCAAATATAAAACAACGCTGGAACATATCAGTGAGCGTCAAACACACACGAAATGTTTTTACTTTTGTTATGTTTGTCAAGTTTATACTTGTTGCACAGTTATTTTTGGTTGTACATTGAGCGGAATAAAATTCCCTAAACAGACATATGCATATAATACAAGATATGGGGGAAGCATTACCAGTATAAACGGCTAAAGTCACCCACCTGCAACCCGTTTGGGACATACCATTTGATCGAAGTGGTCCACACCTTTCATGAACCTATTTTACCATGCAGCCTAGTGGTGAGAGAGCCTCATGGCGCGCAGTTTGAAACAAACCCAAAGTAAATCGGATAAAAATTGAATTTTATACAAATATTTTAAAAGAGGACATATATTTATGTCCACCATGCGGGAGCGGGTAGGCGAAACAGGACGCCGGGAGGAGTCCTCATCCGCAGAAAGTGTTAATAATCGTCAGTCCATCAAGATCGGGTTCAGTGACGAAAGAAGGATTGACAATAAAAGCGTCCCTTCGCTCGCGTTGTCGGGTACCACAGTTCTACAGGCGAGAGGGTATGCCTTCTCAAACACCCGGGCATCAAAATTAAAGAAGGCCAAAAGAATAATAAAGACAGGCAAAAAGTCGGCAGGAAATGACAATTAGAAAGGAGAAGAGGGGAGGAAAACGAAAGACAAGGAAAAGGAAAAGTCATCTGGCATAATTTGAGAGGACAGCAGCAGGAGCATATAGCTACAAAATGACAGGACTGGATCATCACACTAAGGCAGCCGCCCACCAAGTCTCTTCACGTTAACAACTGGCCAGACGGAGGATAGAACTGGCGAGTTATGCAAAGAATATGCCTTTAAAGAAGAGATCGAGTATAACCTTTGATTGTCAATAAGCAGTACGAGAGCAATAGTTCAGCAAGAACTTCAACAAAATTTTGTAGATCTGAGGCAAAGTAAAATCAACACCAGTAATTCCATCCATCATACTATCATGCAAGAGGAGCTACACATCTATGCATCATCCAATATAATCGGCAGACTTCTAGATGTTACTACTGTTCGGCTTAGATTGTTACAAGCATCTCTGGGAATTCTCATTATCTGCCGATGTAGACCTGACCAAATGTAAACTGTGCCAACAAAATTATTCATACACCCTCCGTCCCTATGTGATGGAGTGCGAAAAGACACTAATTCAGACAATTCTATAACAAATGTTCAAGAGATGTGTAAATATTTCTAGTCAAAATTATCTGCTACCAGAAATTTTAGCAAAATATCCTCAGTTTGTTAACTGTAGGTAGTAAACGAGTGATTGTAACCTATCCACTGTTGCCCACTGGATGGGGGGGCGGTGTGCAAGTTAAACGTATCACTTGTGACACTAGCTCAACATATATATATCAGTGCTTAACTTTGAAACTAATCGAGGAAAGTCTATAGCTCATTGTTGATGTGACTGAGCTAGTTACAAAATTCAGTGCACAAAGATTTATAACTCTTAGCTAAATGAATTGTGGGGGTTCAGTCCCTGAACCCATTATGTGCCTCTAACCCTTTCCACTGACCACAGGATGGTTATGGGGTGCATAATAAACGAACCAAACTAACCGACTATCTTTTCATCAAGCTGCTTCACGACTTCTAAATCTTGATCAATAAAAAAAAAACTTAACTATGGTAGTTTTTTTACATTCCATACCTGATCATTGCCATAAGCCGTGTAAATTGCCTCCCCGTTGACGCCCATCAGAGACCGCAAGGCAACGTTTCTCTGCAGCACTTTCTCATAGAACTCCAACCCTCCAGCAGCATACGTGTTACTAATATCAGCTACAGCTTTGTCAACATCTCCTTCGTAACCAACTGTAGATACATCTTTACATAGTGCCCAGAGGATACCTCCAAACGAGTACACTAATACATACCACACCATTCTTAGAGAACGGGGTCTTGCATACAAATTAAAGTTAGCATTAACTGTAGAACTCATTGTATACACCATGCCCACTATTGCAGCAGTAAAGGCACCATTTACAAAAGGTTGAACTGTGGACAAGGACGTGATCTCACGAGCAATGCCAAATTTTTTGGCATCCTTGCTCAGTATAATGGACTGCTTCAGTGACTCTCCTGCTGCAGTGCTCCAAGGTACTGGCTCATTGTTCACCTGGCAAAGACAAAGACGAATTAAGCTTATAACCTGCATCTTTATAACTAATAAAAAAATATAAAAAGAGAATCTTTTGTAAGTGTTGAAAATGTTAGCCAGATATTTTGTCTTAAAAAGCAACAAATATTCATTCTTATTGTCAAGCTTTTCTTTTTTGCTATACAAAAGTGAAGAACAAATATAGTACCATCAGGTTTCACTATGCACAAAAGGTCTATTCTAGGACAGCCTTGTCATAAGCAAATTCCCACAAAAAGGAACCCAATTATGGAAAAGAAATAGCAAAACATTCCAGGCATTCGAGTGACCGATTTTCCCCTCATTTATCAAAGTTTCTACATGAACATTATTAAAGTTTTCATTGTCAGGGACAGGAAGACTTTAAACTTTTCAAGGTCCAATGAGGCCAATCACTAACCTTTGTACAGTACTGTATATATTTACTGCTAAGTGAATAGAGGCATCAGGTAAAAGGAAATATGCCCACATGCCTCTGTTCTGCTGTGGGAATCAAACCCGAGACCTACCAGTTATGAACCAACTGCACTAACCCAAACTATTCCTTCACTTAATGTCACATACAGTACAGTATTTTATAAAATATATTAGTAAAAATGATTAGTGAAAAAATGCACTATCAAGACATTTTTTATGAAACTGCCTCAACAGCTTAGGTGGGTTTGGAGAAGGCTTCGCAATGTATATTTTTGGTCAGGCTAAACAGGTGCATTTTGAGGGAGTGGTAGATCCAGAGACCCAACTGTATTGACCACCATACTAAAAGACTTTGCATGTATCTTGGCTAATGGGTTTCTTACTTCCATTCAAATAAGCTAGCTAAATAGAATCACAACCCATTTAATAAACATCTCCACACTCTTTACATCACATTCCCACAAAATACGAGTTCAATCCCGCACTTACAGCTATACCTTGGCGATCAAAGTTATCAGAAGAAAAGCTAAAATTTATTGGTATACCCAATATTCCCCCCGTTTTCACAGATGTTGAGCCAGCATGGAAGAGGTCAAAGCCATAAGAAGTGTAGGTTGATATGGATTTTCGCTGTAAATCGGTCAATTGAAGATCATCCATAACCTCTTTAACCAACGAGGTAATTTGCTTCGAAACAGGAACTTCAATACCTTTCCTGGAAAGGAAAAAAGAATTAGGATGCATCACAGTAAACACGCATGTGATCACTTTATACAAAATCACCTTATACACAATCACAATATGCATGCGTGATCACACTATACACGAGGTGATCATGTTATACGTAATACACTACACATTATTACATATAGATCAGTTCAAAACTACCGCACATAATTTTAGCATGTTCAGAGTAGACACTGGTGCCTGCCTGTATTTGCCGTTGTCTTTCATATGCCATCTATGTACACAGAAAAGGACACCTGCCATGCTTGGCCTGCTAGTGACATACCAGTACAAATATCATTAGAGGCAATAACCAAGTAATTTGAGATCCTGGTTTCCAAATCCTGGGCAAAACAGAAATGGTGGGCACATTTCCTTTCACCCAACACCTCTGTTCACCTATTGGTAAATTTATTTATTTATTTATTTATTTATTTATGCATATACAAGAATGTACATAAGGAATGTGAGGATACATAATATGGTAATTACAGTCTTGTAAAGCCACTAGCACGCGCAGCGTTTCGGGCAGGTCCTTAATCTAAGAAAATTTTAAGGAGGTAAATACTTGCAAAATTTATAGACAAAAAAATGATAACAGATTACATGAAATGAAAAAAAAAAAAAAAGACGAGAGAAAATTGTAGGTACAGTATATTAAAGCACATAGGTAGCTAAGATTGATTGCAATGACAGCTTGAATGGTAGTTGACAACAAATTGGTAGGCACAATACAGCATATGGCTAGCACATAAAAGAAGACAGCAATGAACACAATGATAAGGTTGTTTGATATTACATAAAAATTAGGAGATTGGGTAACACTAGGTACAGAGCAAATTTAAAGCTCAGTGTAGGAAACTAAGAAGATGAAGTTAGGTACTTTTTGGTTTTGCTTTTAAATAAGGCAAAAGTTTTACAGTTTTTCCAATTCACTAGGGAGTGAGTTCCATAGACTAGGTCCCTTAACTTGCATAGAGTGTTTACACAGATTAAGTTTGACCCTGGGGATATCAAAGAGATATTTATTTCTGGTGTGGTGATAATGGGTCCTATTACATCTGTCCAGGGAGAGTTTCAGAGCATGGTTTGCATTTAAGAACAGGGTTTTGTAAATGTAGTTGACACAAGAGAATGTGTTGAGGGAGTTAATATTTAGCAAGTTTAGGGATTTAAACAAGGGAGCTGAGTGTTGTCTGAAAGCAGAGTTAGTTATTATTCTGATAGCAGATTTTTGCTGTGTGATGATGGGCTTAAGGTGGTTTGCAGTGGTAGACCCCCATGCACAGATACCATAATTAAGATAGGGGTAGATTAGTGCATAATATAGTGAGAGGAGAGCAGAGTTAGGAACATAATATCTGATTTTGGAGAGTATACCAACTGTCTTAGAGACTTTCTTAGTTGTGTGTTGAATGTGGGTGCTGAAGTTGAGTCTCTTGTCTAGGAATAGGCCAAGAAACTTGCCATCATTTTTATTACTGATGTTAATGTTGTCTATCTGTAGCTGAATTGCATTTGATTTGCTTCCAAATAAGATGTAGTAAGTCTTTTCGATGTTTAGTTTGTTCGTTGACACCCATAAGTGGACTTTTTTTAATTCATTATTCACAACATTATTTAGTGTATGTGGATTGAGGTTTGAGTAGATAAGGGTAGTATCGTCAGCAAACAATATAGGTTTGAGAATATTAGAGACATTAGGCAGATCGTTTATATATATAAGAAATAGAAGAGGTCCTAATTGTTACTAAAGAGTTAGGCAACTGTTGTAGAGTTGCATCCTGGGAAGAATCGGTAGTGTCATCTGATGAGAACCTCAATACAAACCTATATATACACACACAGGCTGCATGTCCTTGACAAAATGAATTATAATTGAATTACAGTATATACACCTTAAACCTACTGCGAAACAATAAATTCTAAGAAACCCTTCACAAACAGTGCAGTACTGTACCAATATTTAATAGTTATCAAACCATTACAACAGCCCAAATTTTATTAATTAACCCATACACTGCTCTGATCACTACCTGCAATTTCCTCCTGTACTCCATTGCCACTCATTTTCCTTTTGTACTCTTATCACCTCCTATGATTTCCTCTTTTGTTTCAATCCCCACATCTGCCATTTCCTCCTGTGCTTCAATTGATACCATACGAGGATGAGGAAAAGTATCGGAGCAAGCATGGTACTTCAGAGAACTGAGCATTTCATAGTGGACGCATCAGATTTTACCTTGTTGACTATTACACTCTGGGTCCTGTTTCTTAGGAAGTTAAAGAGCCATCTCCCTATTTTGCCAGGAATTTCTTTTGCGCGCATTGTGTGGGAAATAACACCATGGCCACATTTGTCAAAGACTTTTGCAAAATTTGTGTATATTACATCAGTGTTTTGTCTTCTATGGCATCTAAAGCCATGTCATAGTGCTCTAGCAATTGAGGAGGGGCAGGAGCACCCTGTTCTGCCTTGTGTTGGCCCAGGGTTATATTGATGCAGCGATTCCATGCGTTCTGCGATCTTACATCCTAGCACTAGTATTTTTAGGATGTGTGATGAAATAGCCATTTGTCTAATTTTTTGCATCAGCTTTACCACAGTACTTCAGAGGAAGTGGCACGAGCTCTGCTGTTTTAATTATGTCGGGGATAACATCAGTATCTAGGCTCCATCTCCAAAAATTTTTTAGGGTCTGTGATAGGGTTTTTTGCAGTTTTTGATGATTATAGAATTGATGACTATAGAATTGTCCTTTGAAAATTTATACACCATGAAATTTACCCTAACTTGGGCACAAATAATTTGAGCACAGAAGGAACCCACTAGTGTTGTGTCAACACACCAGGGTTTACACACAACTTCAGTTATGTGTCAATCCTGTTTGCAAGTCTATGGTTTAGCATATGAATGGTACATTTCTGAGAACCCTCACTCAGAAAAGCAAACCATGCAGTTTGGCAGGACTACATTAGAGGCACAAGTCCCACAGGAAACTTAACATTCTGTTAGGTCACTATGCGTACTGGCAACTGAATGCACTGGAAGATATAATACAGCTAAAGTGAACTCTAGACAACTCAAATTCTACATGCTAAATGAAGCCTTCAAGAGCCCTCCCTGGCAACTTAAAGATTACCAAAGAATGCCCCAGCAAACTACAGTACTGGTTGGGTATTTCGGTCCCCTATCCACCCTACGACCAAATGTCAGCACCTGAACAGCAAAGGGTCCACCTCACCAAGCCTTGATACAACACTCTTTATGAAAGAAAAAGCTCTACATATCGAGGACTGTAAATAATTGATAGACCAGGTTAAATTAAGTATACATGCTCAAAAGACATTTTCATAGTGTATAGGTGTGGAGAGGACTGCTAAAGATCAGAGGAAGCAATGGGTAAGGATAAGGTGTAGATAGACCCTATACCAAGGGTTGGAGGAATGTATCTTTGAGGACAGACGAGTGTGGACCAGCTCTGATCTTTGTTTCCCTATGTCTATGTCAGTATTTTGTGTTATCTTTGGCAAACAAAACCAAGTTGCAAAAACACTGCTATTGTTAGCCTACTATGCAGCCTTTTCTTCCTTTTGCCAAATAACTTGCCAGAAACACTATGTAAGTAGGGATTTTACAAAGACTACACATTAACAGTTCCTGTGACTCGCTAAAACACTCAACCGGTGCTTCAAAAGTGCTGTAGCTTGGGTTAGTAACCTAGCCAGGGGAGAATTGACTGGGCGCCAATAATTAACTGTAGCCTCTGTTCACCCAGCAGTGAATGGGTACCCGGTTGTTGAACGATTAGTCGGGTCGTATTCCGGGGAATATTAGGATTAACGACCTGCCCAAAATGCTGTGCGCGCTAGTGGCTTTACAAGAATGTAAAAACTTTTATATATAAAATAAAAAACATGAATGCACCAACCATCTCGCATCATTAATAACAATTTATCGATTACAATAACTATCCCCAAAATTAGAAGAAAATTTTACACATAAGCAGAGAACATGTCACTAATGTGGCCAAAGTCAAATAACCTGACCCACACATATGAAATGAAATCAAAGTGACGACATTTCGGTCCACTCTGGTCACTTATTGCTGTAACTTTCATCTCATTTCATGTGTGCGAGTTGGGCTATTTCTACAGCCGGGTACTGTACACATTTAGATTACAGTGGAAACAGCCACATTGTTACACAACTATAAAGTACAGTACAATTTAAAATACATATTTATTAAAGTTTTTAAAAATGTCCAAAATATGCAGCACCATACCTGTATAGCTTAGTAACATTCTTATAAGTGTTCAATAAGTATGTGTTTGGGAGGTAATAGACCAGGAAGCTGCCAGCTGCTCCTGCTATGCTCAAGACTCTAACCACTCTGCGTCCAGATGGACTTACTGCCCAAGACATGCCTGAAATATGGTGGTCATTATTCACTTGTACATGAACTAGAATAGTCATCACCCTTAAATCAATAGATACAAGAACCATGAGAAATACAATAAAATAAAAATTAACAAATCATTGTCAGAAACAGGAAACTCATTACATGCATCAAGGTCTCCTTAGGCAAATGATTGGTCTTACCAAGTATGCAACCCAAAATAGTTGCCTGAACCCAAGTCGTACACAGGCATTTTGACAAAAGATCATTTTCTAATATTGATATTAGACATTTTCTAATATTTTTCTTGTCTAGTTTATAAAATAGGCGCTGATCCTGGGAATGGTCAGGCACGCAGGTACTTAGGTTAAGCTTGGGATGGGAATGGTCAAGATGGCTCGAGTTGTCTTGACTTGGGTAGGGCAAATTAGGAAGCTTTAAAAAATCAGTTGGCGAACAATCTGGAATATGAAGTTACTTTCCCCCCTCCCCCACCCTATACACAATCCTATAATTCAAATAATTCATTGTGTCAGGGACAAGAAGCCAGATTACACACATCATAAACATTAGGCTTATACCAAGGTCGCCCCCCCCCCCCCGCCAGGGCCGAATTACTGATCCCATCCAGGATGCAACCCCACAACTGCTGACTATCTCCTGGGTACCTATTTACTGCCAAGTGGACAGGGTCATGAGGTGAAAGAAAACATGCCCCAACCATTTCTGTGCCGCCCGGGATTCGAACCCGGAATTCTCTATTTTGAGTCGAGAATGAACTCGACTATGCTACCGTGACCCTCTTAACAGTACAGAGACGTACCCAATACCCAAAACCAGACAGTGCCCCACGGCCCAGTACCCAAAACAACACAGTACCCCACGGCCCAGTACCCAAAACCACACAGTGCCCCACGGCCCAGTACCCAAAACCACACAGTGCCCCACGGCCCAGTACCCAAAACCACACAGTGCCCCACGGCCCAGTACCCAAAACCAGACAGTGCCCCACGGCCCAGTACCCAAAACCAGACAGTGCCCCACGGCCCAGTACCCAAAACAAGACAGTACCCCACGGCCCAGTACCCAAAACAACACAGTGCCCCACGGCCCAGTACCCAAAACAACACAGTGCCCCACGGCCCAGTACCCAAAACCAGACAGTGCCCCACGGCCCAGTACCCAAAACAAGACAGTACCCCACGGCCCAGTACCCAAAGAACTATTCCTCGTCAGCCACTGGCTATCTCGCACAATACGGTGACACTATAGACCCGTCAATGAGAGTGGCCATATACGGTGACACACCCACCTGCCATAGTGACCACAGTACACACTACCGGGGGCGGCGGCTGGGGCCACCACAACACTACCGCACGGTCCAAAAACGTCCCCTCCAGTTAACCCAGTGACGTCACACGCCACCCTCCCCGTATTCTTTTTTTTTGGGGGGGGGGGCTATTCCTGCCCTAAGGGCCCTAAGCCTCTGGAGCCAGATTCAGGAAGCAGTTACGCAAGTACTTACGAACGTATACATCTTTCCTCAATCTTTGATGGCTTTGGTTACATTTATTAAACAGTTTAAACGGCCAAACGTCATTTATTAAACAGTAAACGGCCTAACCTAACTTAATCTAACTTTGTCTAAGGTGCTGTCTCTGCCTTACCATTTACCTAATGTTCTCTCATTCATATAATTTCCTAAATAATCCATCGTCTCCATGCACTTATGCAAGCATCTACCTCAGTTTCATTGTAAAATTTTACTCTTAAATCTAATCTTACCCTATTCCATTTATATTTTAAATTTATTTGTATTGATCTATGTCATTTATTGAAATCAATTATTGATCTCATTTTTGTTCTTTTAATTAAGTTCATACTAATTATAAGTTAAAACTAAGCTAAATAAAATTTATTATCTTTAAGATTATTTTACTTAACAATTATCATTTGTCAAATTTTTTTATATATTCATCTTGACAGTCACTACTGATTTTTTGTTCTCTCCGCCAAACTTGTGTATCCTCCATGGCTATCTAGTGACCTTAATTCTTCCTCTAATTGTTTCAATTCTTTTGTTTACTTGCATTTATTGTTGTGTCTTGCCATAATTATTCTCTAATTTAGCAGACTCAATACTTTGTAAGCTCTTATTGTATTGTTATATTATTATATTGTGTTTTGCTATAATTACTTTCTATTTTACAGCAGATTTGTTTTCATCTGTTCCTGTAATTGCTTATCTTATTGTATCGTGACATTCTTATCTATATTGATATATATTATCTATCTATTGTTACTTACAGTGTACCTGAGAGTACTTGTAAGCAATCTACCTCATTTTTCATTTTTGCTCAATTTGTTTTTGTATTGCTTAGTCTTGTTTATATTTTTGTTTTGTATATCTATATCTTGTGTTTTGTATAGTCCATGTTTATATGTTTTTTCTTTAATCTCATTTATTACCTAGGTTGCCTAGCCTAGCCTTACTCCCTTACTCCATTGTACCCCTGTAAGCCCCTTTTGTGTTTGTTTTGCACAGTATTGTGTACAGTTTTTTTCCCTATTTTATAGCTTATTTCTACCTTGTAATTTGCCTTTCTTTCCTTGTTTTTCCTGCAATCAGCTTTTTTTATGCAGACAAGTATAGACCCAGAACTTAACCTATTATCCACTATATATGACAATTATCACTTTAATGATCTAAATTGCAGATATTTTGCAGCACATGATGTAAACAATGTATTAACTCATAATCACAATATCTCTGTAATCAATTTGAACGTTAGATCCCTAGGTAAACACTTCGATGATGTTAGTGCCTTGATTGAAACTATTGACAACAAATTCTCTTTTATTATACTTACTGAAACATGGTTGAAAGAGGATACTACTCAACTCTTTAACATTCCTAACTACTCAGCAATTCACAACTGTCGTCAACTTCAGAGAGGTGGTGGCACTGCTCTTTACTACCACCAAGAACTAACATGCTTAAAAGAAATTAGAACTAGAGACTGCTATGGGGAGTATATCTTCGCCAGCTTCAGAGTCAAGGGTGCCGAGTCTGTCCTTGTCTGTGGGTGCAGTTTATAGAATTCCTAACACTGATGTGTCCGAATTCAACTCAAACCTTAGAAATCTAATACTTGATAACAGACTGAACAAAAACCACCTAATTATCGCAGGGGACTTTAATATTGACCTCTGCGAGCCAGAACACCCTACTGCTGTTAGCTTCCTCAACTGTATGAATTCCTGCTTCCTCATACCCTTAATCACTAGACCTACTAGAATCACTGATAGCACTGCCACGACTCTAGATCACATCTGGACAAACATAACCTCTCCGCTTACTTCAGGTATAATCACCGATAGCACTACAGACCATTACCCCACATTTCTCTTAACTAACATTAGCAAACCACCTCTTGAGTCAAGAGAGATACGTTTTAGACTACACAATGAAACTGCTATAGACAATTTTATAACTGCTGCTGATAATGTCAACTGGGAGTCCGAGTTAGGTAACATAGTGGACATCAACCTAGCAGTGCAATCTTTTCTTCAAAAAACTCTTAGCCTTTATAATACCCACTGTCCTATGCTTACAAAACAAGTCACAACCAAAAGGCTTAACAATCCCTGGCTTACAAAGGGAATACTTAAATCTATTAATAAAAAACATGACCTTGAGAAGAAGTATAGGTTAGGAATTGTCTCCAAAGAATTCTCAAAGAATTACTCATTATTGCTATCTGAGATAATTAGACGAGCCTAAACTAAATACTACGAAGATAAATTTACCCAAATAAAGAGCAACATTAAACAAACTTGGAGAACAATTTCACAAATATTGGGATCAAAGAAGTCTTTAAATAACAAACCGACTCTCCTGTCTAATAACGATGGTCAGCTTTCAGCCTCTGATTCTGCTATTGAGTTCAATAGATGTTGCTGGTGAGGTGAGGCATTAAGGACACTGGCATAAAACATGGAGTTGGCTGATGCTGTTTGGTGATGAGATGTGATATGAGAGGTTGAAGAAGAATGAGGGTGTGCATGAGTGCGAGGTTGGTTAGTACGAAGAGTTTTCAGGGTTTGTTTTCTCAGAGGGCAAGATTTGTCAACTGCTGAATGATCTCCTTGGCAATTAGTGCATTTTAAGGTAAGGGCAGAGCACTGAGTATAAAAATGGCCTTCTGCAGAGCAGTTGGAGCAAATTTGTGGGCTTTTACATTTTCGGGTTTCGTGACTGTGTTTGTAACATTTGAAACATTGCAGCAAAGGAAGATAGTCAGCTGGACTAATGAGATAGGGAGGAGTGCTGGTGTTGAGGATTTTTATACCTTGATGCAAGAGTTTTTGAGCTTCTGTAGGGGAGGAACATTGGATCTTAAGGTGTTTTGTATTAGGCATTGGGTATATCTCCATTACAGTAATAGCATTCCTGTATGAAATGTCCTGAGAGAGATTGATAGTGTTAGGTGCTGATAGAACAGAGCTGTCGACATTTCTTAAAAGGACAGAGCATTTTGTTTTTTGTTCAATAGTGAGGACAGGAGTCAGTGAAGCTTGAGCGAGTTTACTGAAAGCAGGTTCCCTGAAACAGGCAAAAAAGTCGTCTTCTGAGGCAATAAGAAATTTGATGCTGTTGGTGTTGGTGTGTTTGATATGGTTAGTGGCAGGCGTGCCAGTGGCATTGAAAAAGGTGGTGATGCAGTCAATTGTGTCTATTGGTGTAGTGCCAGTGTAGTTCATCCGCAGACAGTGAGCCATTGTGACTAACTATCTACTGACAGTCCCGTGTTTTGTGCCAATCACTGCGATTCCATAAGCTCAGTGGGGGTCAGTGTGTAGGCCAGGTCTAGGACCTGGCCTAAGGGTCTTACCACGAACAAACACCGTGTTCCGGAAGGTTGCAACCCCCAGTTATGGTGGGCTCGCACGATCACCAGATTCCACAACTGGCTTGGCAGTGTCAGAAACGGAAGAATTTTTAGGAGAGAAGAAAAAGAATGCACCTATGCCATGACGCAGCTGCAAAAGGTGAACTTCCGTCTTCTTACCTGGGCCTGTTCTGGCTCGAAGTGGGGCTGTTCACCTAAATACAGTCCTACCTGGACACAAGCATATTGGACAACACACAGAAGATGTTGCGAGGAAGATGTCACTGCTTAGAACGAGATGCTGGCTGGAAAGCGCCTGGTTCTGCTCCAATACACTGCTGGCTGGAACTGGTCTTGGCTGCACCGAAGTGCTCGTCGAGGCTGGAGAATAACAGCTGCTGTAACAGCGAGACGATGCTGGCTTGCTTTATGGCTGGCGAGCTGAAGATCGATCCATCCACTCACTCACTCCAGAGGGTATCAGGAACGTTGGTAGAGTGGGTGTGTGTAGCTCAAGCAGAGGGCCGCCGTGGTCACACAGCGAGCGAGACAAGATGCGTCCTCTTGCAACGTTGCTGATGGTATGTTCTTAAACTCCTGGTTCAACCTTGACAACGAGCGGACGTCTAGACACCTCCTCCGCCTAGGGGCCGCCGGATCACGTTCTGTTTTGCGATTTGAATTTGATATTGCCGTTTGGCATTCATCAACGGTCCAATTATACGACGCCTGGCGCACATATCGCCTTGGCTCACGGGATTGTTGATAGACTTTTTTTTTACGTGTTGTGGCTGGGTAACGCGATGTCCGGCGCCGGCTTGGCTGAGAGGTGCCGAGAATTGATAGGTCTTGGTGGGCCCTTGGTGTGCCCTCAGCCGTGGTGGGCCCCTGGTGTGCCCTCAGCCATGGTGGGCCCTTGGTGTGCCCTCAGCCGTGGTGGGCCCCTGGTGTGCCCTCAGCCATGGTGGGCCCCTGGTGTGCCCTCAGCCGTGGTGGGCCCCTGGTGTGCCCTCAGCCATGGTGGGCCCCTGGTGTGCCCTCAGCCATGGTGGGCCCCTGGTGTGCCCTCAGCCATGGTGGGCCCCTGGTGTGCCCTCAGCCATGGTGGGCTCCTGGTGTGCCCTCAGCCATGGTGGGCCCCTGGTGTGCCCTCGGGCGTGGTGGGCCCCTGGTGTGCCCTCGGGAGTGGTGGGCTCCTGGTGGGCCCCTGGTGTGCCCTTAGCCGTGGTGGGCTGCTGGTGTGCCCTCAGCCAAGGTGTGCCCTCAGCCATGGTGGGCCCCTGGTGTGCCCTCAGCCATGGTGGGCCCCTGGTGTGCCCTCGGGCGTGGTGGGCCCCTGGTGTGCCCTCAGCCATGGTGGGCGTGCCCTCAGCCATGGTGGGCTCCTGGTGTGCCCTCAGCCGTGGCGGGCCCCTGGTGTGCCCTCAGCCGTGGTGGGCCCCTGGTGTGCCCTCAGCCATGGTGGGCCCCTGGTGTGCCCTCAGCCATGGTGGGCCCCTGGTGTGCCCTCAGCCATGGTGGGCCCCTGGTGTGCCCTCAGCCATGGTGGGCCC